CCCCTTCCTCTTCGTCTGTGTATGGTATGGGCTGGCGCAGTCTTCCTGTGTGAAGCGCCAGGCCCATTTCACACCATGTAACGATGATGATGATGTATGTTCATGGATGCATTGCAACATTGATTGTTCGGATCACTGGTATCTAAGTCTTCCGTTGTGCTATCTTATGCTTTGTATTGAAAGGTCGGTTCTTGTTCTGGTCTGCACGTTACAGTATGCAACAGTCGGACTCAATGAAATTCGTTACGTGTCGGCCCCTCAACGGGCGTCAGATAGTCATTCCACATAAGCCTCCGATCATCGACACGACGACTATCCCTTCAGGCCAGCTTTTCCTGTATGTTCACGTGTTCAAAGCACTATGCACGACTAGTGGCTATTTTTCGCAGATAATTCTCCTGTGATAAGTTGATAACCCGTCCAAACATGGACTGAAACACAGCTGATTTCTGAGTTTTGCTCATAGACTGAATGCCCTACTGAGTTCCCACCTGCTAAGTCTGTGTGTGTGTGCTTGCTGGACTGCATGTCTGTCTGAGTGCTGGTTAGCTTGCGTGCGTGTGACTGTGCCTGTCTGAGTGCTGGTTGGTATGAGTGTGTGTGTGTGGCCCGCCAGGGCACTTGTTCGTTCGTTGGGCCCTCAGGGCCAATACTTACCTGTGGTCGTGGCTTTGAAGGGTTGCAGCGGGGAAAAAGCACTCAAGTAGCAGGTAGGCCGGTACCGCACCCGGCAGGGGGGTAAATATGCAGGTACCGGAGGCCGAGCAGAAGAAGACAAAAGTGGCATTTTTAGAGGCCGGTAGTGTAGGCTAGGTCTAGCGGGTACCAGTCTGAGTCTAGGGCCTGTAGGGGCAATATCAGAGTCTGCAATGATGTTTCCCTCCAAGAGAGGAGGAGGTACCGGTTGCTTGGAAGGCCAGCGGCCTGGAAGTCATCGCCCAAGAGGCAAAGCAGACCGCTATATCCTCAGGCCGGGCGGAAGACGCGGCCTCTTTTTTCGGTGTGCAAGTTTGGCGACACACTGGTGGAGCGCTGGCTGGAGCGCTAAGCTGGAGCAGCGCTGCTGGGAAGGAAGGAGAAGGAGTCTGAAGGACATGAGGGAGGAAGAAGGAGGAAGGAGGAAGGAAGGGGGAGGAGCGCCAGGGGTACTTACCTGGCTATGGTGGCAGCCATCTTCATCACCTTGGTGGGCGCTGCAGCAAGGAGTCCCCCGCCGGGGAGAGCCACACCAAGAAGCTTCAAGGCAGGGTTGGGCATGGCGGCCTGAGCTAGAGCAGCCATAGCTGCTTTGGGTTGTCCTTTGGGCGTCCGGGCAAGGCCTAGTAGTCCGCCATAGCCTCAGCCCATGAGAGTGAAGAGTGGGAGAGGCGGCCATGGCTATGGTGGACCTTGAGTGATACCTGCAGTAGAAGAGGGACTCAGACATTGATTCTGGATCAGTCATTCAACATTGCATTATTATTTCTTGTATGAATAAGAGAAGGGGGAGATAAGGAAGAGGAGATTGTTGGGCGAAAAAGAAAGAGTCTTGTGACTCTTGTCATTATCTTTGCTGGTGTACATCTTCTTCTTCTTCCTTCTTACTTCTTCTTCTTCTTCTAATGCTCTCTCTCTCCTCTCAAGTTCATTCATTTCTTTCTGCAATTGGATGGCATTGTACTTTCTGGTGGATGTATATCTCGAAATTGGCCAGGGTCATAACATTGGTATCAGAGCGGACTCTACTTGCTGGTGAGAGTTGACGTTGCTGCCCTAACCCTAACCTAAGTGGTTGAGGGCAACACTTAGGGTTAGGGTTGGTTGGTTGAGGGAAGTGGGCCAGCGTGGCTAAGGGAAGCTGCCCCCACCTGGATAGGTCATGTGGGGTCGACATAGAACCTAACAAGGTTGTTTGAGAGTGAGATTAGGGTGGCGAGACATTTCGAGGAGACTTCATGCGGCGATTTGAGAGAGGCGACAGTGAGAGGTACTCACACCTGGAATCTAATTCAAGGGAGACACTTGGCAACTTAAGGGTTGCCCTCAAGTAGGCGAGCTTGAGGTTCAGCGGCCACTCAGCATCTACGGACTGCAAGTTGCTACTTTGATCTTCAGCATCGACAGGGGATCCGGCGTTGCACTTAGGTGTTGGAGTCATCCCCCCCTAGGAGATAGGACACTAGTGTAGGGGTAGTGTTAGAGGGGTCAGGAGGACCACATGAGAGGGGGAGTGAGTTCTATTCATCTCGAAGCTCAAGGCCACTAAGGCAAGTGCCGTGCACCTACGGGATGCCCATGTATGTGTGTATGGTATTGATTGTCCTGCTGGGGTACTCTGGGTTTCTTTTCCTACTCTGTGCTCTTGATTGTGTGACTGAATGCATGTGATCTACCTACTCACCTGATGGATGGAAAATGAAGTATCTTGACCTACATGCCGAGTCTTTCTACAGTGCTTTGTATTTTCATCTCTGAACGGTTGTAGTCTGTAGGTTCTGCCAGAAGTTGAAATTTCGTTTTTCAGTGCAGTAGAGACTGAACTAAGTTCATGTGGAACTCTTCTTGGTTGGGACCTGGTTGAGACCTATGTGGGACCCCTGGGACCCAGCGGGGCCGGGCCCAAACAAGAAGAGCCTCTGGACCCAAACCGGTTAGGCATTGACCTCTTGTCTTCTTGGCTGGGATACAAAGTCACTCTTCTTGGATTAGGACACCCACTGCCGAGGGGATCTTGGCTGAGAAGTTTCGCATGTCTTCTGATTGCACTGTTCGTGGCTTGACTCGCACCCTGTACACCACTCAATTCTCCATTGTTGCATTTAGTTACTCGTTGTCTGATTTGATGTACGGTCACGGAACTGGTCAGACTGGACTCGAGAGGACCCCATATGCAGTCTGATCAGACTGGGTCGCTGGATCAGACCTCTCGTTTGAAGTTGTTTGTTTTCTTTTGCTGCTCTCTACTTCCAAATGAAATGCCGCTCCGGCTAGGAGTTCTACCTTCTCTTCTCTGAGCTTTTTAAGTTTGTTTCTCTGAGTTCATTTTCGATGCTCGTGGAGACTCGCAGCCAGAAAGAAGAGAGAGAGAGGAGGGAGAGAGAAAAGGGAGAGACAAAAAGTGACTGTCTGAAGTGGGCAAGGATTGGGAAAAGGAGTGTTCGTCCAAGTGAGAGGGGGAGTGAACCTCTTGAGAGTCTAATTGATTCTTTTGCTGATTGGCGACTCTCTGACCCACCTGTCAATACTGACAGTCCAAAGATGGCTCAGCTAACTTCAGTGCAATGGCGGGCCTTGTTACATGCAGCCAATGATGCCGAAAAACCAAATCTACAAGCACTCCTAGATAGTGCAATCAATAGGGAACAGGAGGCAAAGAAGGAGAGGAAGGAGACATTGCTGAGAAGGCAAGTGGCCATCCTAGAGACTGTTCCCTCACTAACTGAAGAGCAGTGTGGGGAACAGTTGCAGTCTATACTCACCGCCCTTGTTCAAATCAGGAACCTTGAGGATCATACCACTCAGATGGCTGAAGTCTTTGCAAAGTTGCAGACACTTCAAGATGATCTGACTGATATGACCCGCAAGTACCATGAATTGACAAGGGAGGTGGCTGAGCTGCGGCAAGCCCAAGTGGCCAACCCTCTTCCTCTACCCCCTGGATCTGAAGCTGCAATCGAAACTACCTCTGCCCCTCTTACTGTATCTTCTTCCTCGAATGTGTTGGCAACCCCTTCGGGACTTGCAACAGGTGCAGATTCCATCGTTGGTGTGACAAGCAACGAGGTTGGAACCTCTGCAACTGCTGCTGCCCCGAGATTGGAATCTGTAGGCACTGGTCCCAGCTACGTTGGTCCCTATGTGGACCGAAAGGCGGTAGAAATGCCATCTAAGTACGATGGCAAGGAAGACATCGAGTCCTGGATCGACTCCATGAGGGCCTACTTTGAGATTCTGGGAACTCAACCTGAGATCTAGGAGGTGATCATGGGAATGAATGTCGAGCTGGTCGTACGGGGCTTCCTAGAAGTCCAAGCGACGCGGGCTGGGTTCCAAAAGACTGCACTAGCCAAATGGCTTAGGACCACCCCGGTTGCCTCCCTCAAGGATCTCCTTATCTCACAATATCAGGATCCACATGCTGCGGCTAGGGCAAGAATCCAACTTCACAAAGTCAAGCGCAGCAAGTGGACAGGCTCCATGAAAAGCCTGCAAACCTATCTTAGCAAGATGTTCGCTACTCCTGGTTTGGAATTGTCTGCTCAGTCGTGCTTAGATGTGGTTAAGGGCGTGGTTCCAACTAACTTCACTAATCGCCTGGGCAGGGACTACATTGCATACACTGACTGGCTCACCTTAATGAAGGACATAGTCAGTTTGGAGGCTGTAAACCTCGTTAGCACGACAGACAACAAAAAACCCAGGGGCGGCAGACGGTTCAAGGGCAGCAGCCGTTTTGCTGTGCATGACCTGCTGGAGGCCGAAGAAGAAGCCGATGCGGATGACCCCACTCTTGGTGACGACCAAGAACAGGACTCCGATACAGCTTGTTCTTCAGCCCAAGTCCGATGCAAATAAAGAAGAAGAAAAATTTTCTGCCTTCAAAAAGACTGCCAGTACCAAGGGACCGAATCGGATCGCCGGGAAGAATTATGTCCAACTTCCCAAGGGAGTCAAGATCCCGCCTAAACCGGAGGATGCGTCTACCAAACCTTGGGTTGACCTCCAAATCACTAAGAATGACTGGCGGGGCTGACTCAAGAAGGGGGAGATCGTACCTGGTTTGAAAAACGGTTTTGTGCTGGTCCTCAGGTCTAATGGCAATTTGATGGTGTCCGGATTTCAAATCTATCTTTGTGAAATACCGGCATCCCTTCACTCTATTCAGTAGATCGTTGATGCGGGGTAGGGGCTCTGCATTCTTTACGGTGATGGCATTGAGGCCCCTACAGTCAATGCACATCCTTAGTGTACCTCCCTTCTTAGGAATAAATAGGACTGACGTACTGTAAGGGGAGGTACTAGGCCGAATCCATCCCTTTTCTGTGAGCTCTTTGAGTTGGCGACGGAGCTCATCCAACTCCGCAGGAGACATCCTATAACTTTGTCTTCTAAGCACCTTACTACCTGGGACAACCTCTATTGCATGGACTACCTCCCTTTCCACCACGTCTGTGGCCTCCTCAAAAAGGTTGGAATACTGAGTGATGACTGATTGTATCTCTGGGGCTGATTTTACGACCTCCCCTTTCTCAGAGACAAAAACTAAATACATGCCTTCCTCGTGATTCTGCTTATAATAGTTATAGAGGGAAAATGCACATATGCACCCGTAGTTCACACTAGACTGCTAGCTTTGAACTTCTGCAGTCTAACGGTTCTACAGTTGGGCAACTTGTGGATCGATACCTTTCTATCCCAACCGAACTAAGGTTGAGGGACCTCGAGGTAGTACATACTTAGCAGCATGTCAAAAGGCAGCTCGTCGCTGACAAGGAATGAGATTTTATGTCTCACTTCCGCTCTTCCATATGAGAAGGTACAGACTATGTCCTTGACATAGTCCTGGACAACCATGCGGTGCTTGTTGGTTAGCGTAAATGCTACAGATCTGCTAAGCCGCTGCACTTGGTCCCCTAAGCGCAACCTATCCACACAAGCACGACTGATGAAGTTCCGTGTAGAGCCTATGTTTGCGAAGGCACCCACTTTGCGGCCACCTACATCAACCTCTACCACAAAATGTTCACCTCTAGGACCTATACTAATCATCGCCCAAAAGCCTCTGGGGTCCTACCTTGACCACTCAGTCTGTAGCTCTTCTAGGGACTCAGACACATCTCTGCAACAAAGCATCGGTGGGTCTGAATGTGTCTGTGGGGCGATGGATAGGTCACTAGCCTTGGCCAATGCCCGAAGTGGGGAAGACAACGTTACTACTTAAGCACGAGTAAGAGCGGCTAACGCTCCTACTGGCCCAAGGTGTTTCCCTGCAAAGTGCTCGCAGAAGCATTGTCAGGGTTCGAAGATAAGCCCACCACCGTTGGAGGGGCTACCTTCGTTGTGTCTTTTTGCCTCCGCATGTTCTAGACGTGTGGCCATAGTTGCCACAGTTCATGCACGTGCCCCTAGTAACTCGGTCTCTGCACACCTCGTAATCTAAACCAAGTTTTACCCATGTGGGTGTTCCTTGGTCGCCCTGACCCTTGGACCGGCCTGCCTTCTACTTCCTGGTCCCCCTAGCTTTCTCTTTGATGGGCGCCACAACTCCCCTATCTGAAGTCTCGTTGGCGCCATCCTGCTTTGTCTTATCCCTTGAGTCTGGGAAGTCATCAATCTTAGTTGCCTGACCATCATGGTCGACAAACATGAGTTAACCTTTCTTCCTCCAATCTTGGGGAAATCTCTTCTTCCTACCATCTAATTGGCCCTGATGCGCGGATCCCAGCTTCGCCTCTATATCTAAGGCTTCCTTGTTAAAAGTAGTGAAGCTATGTTGGTTAATGTAGGCCTCGTCCACTAGCTTATTCTTGACGTCCGAGGGCAGACAACTCAAATAGTATGTGAGGAGTACCTACGGATCATAACGCACACCAGGTACCACGATCAGACGTTCTATGGCGTATGTGACCTCACGTACATTCTTGTACCTCTTGCCACAAAGATTGTTAATTGCGTCGATGGCCTTTTGAGCCCCTTGAGGGTCATGCCACCTATTGTACACAGTCCGTACGAAGTCTTCCAATGTCTGGGCCTGGGCCCAGGCATCGAAGTTCTGACCATAGCCCTGTTGCTGCACTAATCCATTTAACCAATGTGTTGCTGATCCCTCTAAAAATGAGGCAACAACTATAACTTCCTGTTCTGGCCTTGTGAGCTTGTGCCTCACATAAGTGGGCACAGTCCTCACCCAGGTGTCCAGGTCCTCTTCCTTTCTTTTGTCGCTAGAGAACTCAACAAGGGAATCTTGGGCATCCACTGCATAGGCTGGATTCACCCAAGTGACTGTTGCAGTGGTTGTATAGCCACTGACACATGGTGCTAAATGCTAACCTGCGACTGTCCTGACAATGGCACTTTAGCTGCCACCGTCCTCAATGGTACAAAAAAAGAGAAAAGAACCAGACCATTAACTGCTGGTTGACTACTCAAAAGAGGAGTGTCGAACATAGGAGAGGAGGACCCTACTGGCGACGACGTTACTAAGGGACCCGCAACCGAAGGGGGAGCTATAGCATACCGAGGCTGCCTCATCATTGGACGAGGAGGCTGCAGTGCAACCAAAATTCGTTTCTGGTCGTCTACTAGTTCAGCCGACACTTCTTGCTGGACAACCTGTGTTTCCGCCACACAAAGAAGCGAGTGACGCAGGATCAAGTGTCGACTCGTCTAGTGCTTCTAGATTTTTTAACTCTTGTCTCCTAGCTCCTAGTCTAGCTTTTCTCATGATAGCTCTCTGCCTTCTCTCTGCCGCATCTCTCAATTGCTGTTGTAGCTAATCATGCAGTTCTTCCGCTTGGAGGATCTCATAATCCTCAGGTGTGAGGGGTATCTGCTACCTGACTTGCAAGCCAACAGATTGACTAACAGAACTTTGAGAGACACCCTGACTGACACCAGTTAAAGAGGCCTTGGACAAGGCCTGTGGCAATGTGGAGGAGGTAGCCATTGCAGCCTCAATCTGAACTCTAGCATCTGCTAGTCTTGCTGCTGCAAGTGTCAGTTTGGCGTTTGCTACTGTTGTCCTAGCCCTCTCTAATGTTGTTATTTCCCTGGCTTCCCTTTGTAGCCTCCTTTCCTCTCCTTGGCCTAATTCCAAAAAGGTAATCGGTCGACTAAGTGCAGTTCTGCGAGTAACTCTAAGGGGTTCTACTAGTCTTTCCTCCTCCTCACTTCTGCCTACATCACTCATGAGCTACAATGTGAAAGGTCTAAACTAGAATCCACACTGAATCCTACCTCAGCATGACCCACAACCAAGTATGAACAATCAATTAATTTCGGTCAGCCTAGAGAGTAGTAAAGTGGTAACCAACAATCAATGCCAGGTCCTACAGGGGATACAAATTTTATTTTTAGATTACTTTGAAACAGATTGCATGCAGCAAGAAATACTAACTATCTGCAACTGTCTGTTAGTTGGCAGTCAAGTCTGTAACCACCAAATAATCAAAAATAAAATAGTGTCACTGCAGAGATGCATGCTGGATGGAATATGTCCTAATTAATAACTCTGCGAACAGTTACCGAAATCCCCTCTCTCACTGTATCCTTCTTGATTGGTCACTTTGTGTCAACGCCCTGAGCATCTAATTGAGCGGTGTGTCTGAAGGTGTGCAATCCGGCCCACCCGTGCACGTTGTTTACCCTCGCATGCAATGAGCCTTACATCTGGTTTGATCTGGCTGATCAAGAGGCAGTTTAAGGACAGTCCCCAAGGTCCTAAGGAATTATTTAACGCCGCAGACACGACGACGATCACAGCCAGGGTTCAACACCGAAACCCGCCAAAAATATTTAGAGATGGTCTGGTAAGCGTCTGTTCAAAGGGCTGGCATGCCCTGCATGAGCTCTATTGTGCAGCAGCAGAACCAAGGACCTACAGCAAAGCATGCGTGTTCTAGTCCCAGTGGGTTGACATGGTGACCGTGACCCGAGTGCTTCATCCAGGGCCCTTCAAAAGCTTCACCCATCTCCCACCAGCTTGTTGCCCAAGAAGGATGTTGACTCTCAAGGTTGAGCGCTCACAACACCTCACATTGAGAGGACTTTTAAGACAAAACTCACTTCCTCACGGTAAGAAGTAATGAAGAGGGTAGATAAGGGAGAGAGCAACGTACCTCATAATGCTTCCCCCAACCACAAATTTCTCACCGGCAACCTGATGTGCATTTATGATGACTGGTCTTTGTCGCGGCACAACCAACAACAGAAGCAGTTCCACCTCGGCTTAAATGCCACATCAGTGAGCTCTCATCATCCAGCGTACAACCCTAATGTCACCACATAGCT